AATCTAGTGTTCTTTTTATTATCTGGCTGCTTACTTCTTTAAAAAGTCATATATATATATATATATATATATATACATATTTCAGTTTTTTTTAGCCAAATTGCCAAAACAAGAAACGATAATTATTTGTAATATTTATTTTTGCGCTTCACACTGTGTGTCCCGTAATAATTCAGTAGTGCTAAAAAATTGTAAAATTTAAACATTACACGAAATATTATAATTATAAAATAATTTATTTATATATATATATATATATATATATATATATATATATATATATATATCATATTTATGTTTGGAGCTTATGTATGGTTTCGGAGTTTGTCATGCACATACGTTTCAGGAAGGAGCATGCGTGCGAGCTCTGCTCCGGAGTACAGTACAGAGTAGGGAGAAGTTGATAAACTAATCAATGATATTTTGTTTTATTTGTTACATATACTTCTTTTAAAGCACAACATCTTGATTTAACCCAATAACTTCAATTACGCATACTCCTTTATCTCACATATGCATATAAACACACATGTTGCAACATGTTGACATTTGTATATTTTGCAAATTATTTAACATAATTAATGTAATTATCTTATTCAATGTTGAATTTTGTGCAATTATTAATTACTGTTAGTGGAACTTTTTAGAAAGATGTTGTCGCAAGGTGTTTAAAATTTCTTATTGAATGCATAATTGATAAGACTTCGGTGTAATTATAATGTTATTGATATTTCATAATGATAAAGATGTCAATTTTAATTAGTACACATCTTCAGTTGTTTGATATTAGTTTACGGTTGGCCAATACAAATACCTGTTTATTAACTTTGAGAAGGAGAAATTTGTTTTCGCGAAAAAATTTGATTCGCTAATTTTGTTTTCTTGACGTTTCAATTCATTCTGGATCCAATGAGACCAAATGAAGAAGACCAATACAATTACCTGTTTATTAACCTCCCGAAAAGAAATTTATTTTTACGGAAAAATCTGTTTTGTTATTTTTATGTTTTCTCGACGTTTCAAGTTATTCTGAATCGAAAGAGACCAAAATTAGAAAAAGTATCTGATGTGTGTATATGTGAGCCGATTTTTGACCTTTCGTCAATTTCAAAATTTTAGAGCCATTCGATGTAACTTGATAAAAACGAGCGTTAATCAGTTTTGCGCGACAATCAGCCAAGCCGCTTCTTTGTAATCAGCAGAATAGTGTAAAAATGTTTGTCAATGTTTTAGCCCACAATCTTGAATCGATTTCAAAAATTCAAAATCTGTTCAAAAAATTTTGATTAGGCATACCGTTGATTAGTTTTTGGTAAAGATCGGCCGGTCTTCATAATTATTAAATGTTAAATTTTTTTTTGACGATTTTGATGAAACTTTGTATAACGATAGATTTTGTAGTCTGAAAAAATATATTAATGGGCCGATTCTGCCGTAAAATTGACCTATGTTAAGGCAAGACCATGTTACGCTGCTTTTTTCATATAAAATGGAACTAAAAACTGTCAAAATGCAGTGTGGTTTATGTGCAGTCAGGTTTTTAATATAAAACATAACCTAGAAAACATACAAACACCAAAAAAAAAATTCATCATAAATGCATCTTTCTGATGTGCCACTTTAATACACGCGGGAAGTTAGATTTTATGTATAAAACCATGATCGCACAGCAAATATATAGCATTTTTACAAAGATCGCACAGCAAATATATAGCATAGTTTTTAGTACCACTTTATATGAGAAACGCAGCGTAACATAGCCTTACTATAACATTGACCTATTTCACTGCTGAATTGGCTCATAAAATATTATAGACCTACGATAAGCAGTTGATTTATAAAAATTATAATAGATTTATAATAGATTCTAATTAGAATCTATGCTTTTCGTGCATCTGTAGATTCCATGTTTTGTAGGTGCCTACTGATCATAGTTGACATCTACACTTAAATGCATTTTAATGGAATGAATGAAATGAAATGTGTTAATCAAATTAATTTATTTATACAATAACAGATATTGTAAGAATGTTTAAAAAACATAATTAACTTCCCGTAGGGCAAGTTATAGTAATCGCAAAAAAATCGAAAATGAAAATTTTTATAGATCTTTACGTTTCAAAACCTTCTGAACATTTTGGCAAACCTCAGAAAAAATGGATATATGTGTGTGTGTATGTGTGTGTGTGCGTGTGTGTGTGTGCGTGTATGTATGTATGTTTGGATACAAATTTTCGTCGATGATTTCGGGAACACTTATCAACCGATTTGAATAATACAAAAAACATTCGATTCGTATTGATAAGGAGACGTGCTGATTAGTTTTTGGCGAAGGCAGATCTATTCGTTCCGAAGATACGGGGCAAAAAGTGCCGAGAACGGTAACTCAGTTTTTAAGAGAACGGAGCGTCTGATTTGAATAATTCAAAAAAACATTTCATTTGTAGTGACTAAATGAAGAACTGTTCAAATTTTTGGAAAGGCAGATACAACGACTTTGGAGATATGGAGGAAAAAGTAAAAAAATGAGCCATTTGGCGGTCAAAAATGAACATTAGACATATGTACATCAAATTATCAGATATTTTATGGAGATTTTAACAATAAGTATAAACTTTTTTTACATTCCTATGGGTTCCGTATCAATGTTTACGCGTTAGACGGCAACGCGGCGCTTACGCGCTTTGATATTTCGTCTTTATGCAGTTAAAGCAGTACGATTGCTTTGAGAAAAAGTTCAGAATTTCCAAAATATTTCAAAATAAATGATTTAAGATAGAATGATTTAATATGGTTCGAAATTCTATTAAAAGTTTCAAATCATTGATCAACTTTTGTTGATTATTATTATTGATTATTATTAATTACTCGAATTTTGAATTGCGGTACGGGAAGTTCCAGCAATTTGCCTTAAGGCATGATGCCCTAATTGCCTTAAGACAGAATTCCACTTACAGCTAGTTTTGTTTAAAAATTATTGCAAAGGTTCACTGATTGCAGCTGTGCGATTGTTTCTCGGGGCCGGAGCGCGTAGTCCGCCGATACGCTGCTACGCGGCTAGTTCCAGGAGTGCGACTCCTACGGCCCTTCGGTCGCGTGGGCGGCGGGTCCGCGCACGCGTCATCTCGCCTAGCCGAATCGTATCGACGACGTCGCGACGACTTGCAGTACGCAACGTGTTTCGCGTTCCTGCAAAAGCCAAAACAGCTGCTTTCCTTTAGCACCGGGAGCAAGGATATACCGATCGAATAAAAAATATCCTAGGCGAAAAGTTATCGTGATGTGCAGGTTAGGCGCGTTCGATTACTGTTTTCACAAAATTTGAATTATTTTTAAATAATCATCGGCGATAATATGTGGCGGTGGTCAGTGTATCGTAAGAGATCTAACGGATCAAACGTGCTCGAGAATGATAAACAGATCCAGATTTGCGAGAGCTCATGAAGATTAAAAACAGACATCATAATACAACACACAAAGACGGTCAAATCGTCTTTTGCTGACATGTCTCAATGTAAGTCAAATTTTAATTACGTCAAGTTGTTATTTAAGGTTTTTTCTGAAATTCATTACTTGTCACTTTCCTAGTGATTCTGTTACACTGCCCTCGATATGCGTTTAGGGGGTTTGAGGTAACTGACCTAGAGCGCTGTGACGCTAGGAGTTTTGACATCCGTGTCGTGTCTATCGATCATTATAATTCCTCTCTATTATTATTATTTGTTGTGTATTATCAGACAGTTCCACGTGCCCTTTTGTAGACATTGTCCGTACACAATCACCGAACTGCTGATCCACAAATGATGAGAAATTGGCTTTAAATTTAATGGAATACAAATTGCTTTTGATATTGATTTTACTTGATCAATTTTAGATAGAAAAATTTATGAATATTGATGAGTTATGTATCGATTACCGTACTGTGTTATTTTGTCATTATTTCTTAATGCATAGATAAAATGATAGAAAATAACATATAAAACTACGTAATTTCTGATGTCAACTGATTACAAAAATAATTTATTTTGAGTTTACATTCGGATATAGTGAACTTTCAATCAAATCATGTAGAATAACATTTTCACCTTAGTGTCTCGTATATATCAATGTAAATAAAAATTACAATCAAAATTAAATAAAATTACAAAGTTCTAAGTATGTTAATGAAATTATATCAACATAATCCATATTGTATCATTGTGTTAAAATAATTGTATGGGAACTGTGGACGGCATAGACAATTACATTTATTACCGCCATTGTTTTATCAATTGAAATTTTATTATTTCAATATAAAACGTGTAAACTATTAGTGAAGTTAATAATATTTTCACATCATAAAGGGTCCCGAAAATTGTAAATTTGCATTCTTTAACAATTATATGTTGCATTGGGCTCGCCCGTAGGTAAGCGGTTAAGGGCGACGGGATTTGTTTCAGAGGTCCCGGGTTCGATATCCACTTCGAGCAGCCTGTTATCAGGCAGCAGTGACAACGATTTTTACTTGGAAATATAGATGCAATATGTTTCCAAGTGAAAATAGCCCTCACCCGGCATTGTTGCACCATACTTGCCCTATTACAGAGATTGTAATAAAAATTTATCATACAGAGATGTGACAACTGTTTTGGTTGCCATCTGTAATAAAACAAACGGAGTTTGTAAAATATTAATCGCAACAGCTCATAGAACCCATAAATTCTGATCGCTGTTAAATAAAATTATAAAAAAAAAATCTTCAACAATTATATGTTCTATTACAATTCTAATGTCATAAAGATTTTTAATCCCTGTGTGAACCATCAATGACACAATGCATAATATTTGTTTTGTATCTATGCCAATATTCTTATTAAAATGGCATTTGCATAAATCGATTCAATATTTGTATGATTTTTATCGTAAGCCGACAATTAACATAGTATCGGTCAGTACATATACAAATACTGATTTACCGTCGTGGCCAGAATTATTTTCAAATGGTCTGCGGGCGTCGATTGTGGACGGCAATGTTTACTCAGTGGCATTCTACGAACTCGATTACATTATAATTGTTGATGGAATATGTTATCATATGTAGTTTATCAAATCATTGCATTATACCTGTCCAAACTGTCAGGAATTGTACTTGTGCATCCCCACAGAGACGTATAAATTTGTGAGTATTTTTTTTTACTGTATAATTTATATAATGGTTACAAATGTCCTTAGTGGACGTCTAACAAATTTAATATATAAATAACAATGAGTAGAAGTTACCACTATTTTGTTTTAAATGAAAAATATAAGAGTAAGAATGATTGTGTAAACAAATACCTTCAGCAGAGTTTTAGTGGATGTGTTCTTTTTGGCCATCTGAAAATTTAAAAGCGAAAAGATTTTGGGCTAATTGATTTGGATGGGCAGTTAAAGTATATTTACTTATTTCTACAAATTTTGATTATTTGTCTAAATGACTAGTTATGTTCAAACTATAGTGATTTCTTTTTACTAGTCTCGGGTACGATCCCAATCTCGGCCCGTTCGATGTCAAGCAGTATGTCAAATTTTCAGTTAAAGTTACAAATCTCAAATATAATCTCAAATAAACATCGCTCTTTGTGGGCATTGCTGAAACATATATACGCCAACACTATTATATATACATATTTAATAGATGTATAGTTTACACATAAATAAGACTGGTTGACCGCTGGGTTGCCCTATCGAGAAAATATGCTAGGTTAGGATGAAACGTAGTAGTTTTAATCGATCTTAAAAAAAACTTCTATCCCCCATAGGTTTATACCAGATTAAAGTTTCGACCGAACTGCAGTTATGTAAATTTCTAACTTTTTTTAACCTCTTTGTTAATATTACATCTGCGAGTATGTTATCTCATAGTAATTACTCAGAAATTTCCTTGTTAAGCCAAATTATATGGCATGTGTGACAAACGACAATGACGCTGACCCTCTTAAATTTTTATATGGTACATTTTATTAACTTAATTTAGAAGTTACATATTTACACACATCTGTATTATTATAGTAGAAATCGGTTTAAACGATCATGGGATACAATTTCTTACATAATACGTCATTTTTCGCCAATCCCTGCAATCCCTGCAGTTTGAAACATATTGTCTTTACAATGCAAAATAAGCTTTCTCGTATAAATTATTATTTTTAGTGAACGTATAATTTAATTTTTGTGAGTGTAGTCTATTTAGAAAGAGTCGTGCAAAGTAAAAAGTTTATTGCCGAATGATTTTATCTTGTAATATGATAAATTGTATACTCGAAATCATAAATGTCAAACTTGCGAATTTCTATTGCATATGTCAAATGAATATGACTTATGGTTCTAAATTTGCGTATTATTATCTAACGTAATGAGTCTTAATACTTTCAAAAATATTTCAATAAAAAATAAATTGATGTTGCATCAATACGTTTTGATAACCGTTTGTTTGATGCTACCGATTAATAGTTGAACCGTGGAGTTTTTTTTGCATATTAAATTGTACATTCATAGAACAAGTATTGAAAATGATCTGACAAGAAATATGTTTATTTGCTTATATAAAAATATTTGCATTTAGTATTTTGTAAAGCACGTCTACTTGTTGAAGTGGATATGACCTAATTTATCATCGAAGCAATTTTTTAAAACTATTTTAAATAAACAATTGAAAATATTTCTGTAAAATCATCGTTCTTATTAAATCTTGGGTCAATCATTCTGATGGTCACTTTTTTTTTGTTCAATCTTCGAGTTGGTTTGTATTTATGAACTTATAGTGAATTTGAATGCTAGTTATATTTAAAATTTGATTTTAATATTTATCAAAAATTGTACGAGGCATTTCTGTGTTGAAGTTAATTCCCTGTTAGAAATTATCTAGTGTTAAATAAATATGTTAATCCCTTAAATCTGCAATAGACATTTTTGATTAACTTCTTGAATTGGGTGAATTTAAAGTTTGATTTGTATTTTTATAAAAAAATAGATCCTTTGTATTTGTTTTCTTCATCTATAATCTAATCACATAATGTTTTTTTGTTAAAATATATTAATTGGAATTGCCAATGGCTTTTTGTGGTTCTTTTTTTTAATATAAATCGGCTTCCGTTATTCACAAAAATAGCCATTTACATGGCTTAATATATCTAAATTAAGCTAGCTTTTATCAAGCGTCAGTGACATCAGATTTTCACGTGAGATTAGAGATCTAAAATATGGCAAGTGAAAATAGTATTTTGGGACATGGCTATATGCAATTTTTACATCACAATAAGAAATATATATATAATGCGATCTCGCCAGAAAGAAAATGGTCAACCTCTGGGTTGTCTAGAAACATAATATTAATGAATTTACATTACAACAGCTTTTTGAACACATATTAATAATCAGTATTTAAATATAAAAAAAGAAAATTAATAGTCAGCCTTTGATTTAGACGTGGGCTTCATACATATTGCGGAATTGAAGTAAAAGTTACTAGATTTTTTAAGTACTATATTTAAATTATTCATTTATTTTTTATTTATTCATTCCAAATAATATTTATACGGATAGTAAATATTACTTCAGATTTTTGTTAATAGTTAATATTCAATATCAATTATTTATATTTTCATAGATTAATAATAATATTAACTTTTTGAAATACAAATCATTTTTGTTTTCATTATTATTACATTTCAAATAAAATTACTTATTATTATGATCCCAAATTAGCTTATTAAACAAATGTTATATTCAATATCAATTATTTATATTTTCAAAGTTTCATAATAGTATTAATATTTTTATAAGGTTGTCAAATATCTCCCTTCCGCCTTTTTGTATTATAAACCAAGAGCAAAAAAGCGGAAGGGAGATATTTGACAACCTAATATATACACATTATTTTTATTCTCATTATTCTGCGACGGGAATTGTTTCAGAGGTCCCGGGTTCGATACTCACATCGAGCAGCCTGTTGTCTGGCAGCAGTGATAACGATTTTCACTTAAAAATATAGATAGTAATATGTTTCCAAGTGAAAATAGCCCTCACCCGGCATTGCTGCACCAATAAAAATACTTGCCTTATTACAGAAATTGTAATAATAATCTATCATAAAAAGATGTGACAACTGATTGGGTTGCCATCTGTCAAACAGACTAGTATTAAGTCAAATCAGCACAACAGCTTACAGGACTATTGGGTTCTGATTGCTGTTCAAAAAAAAAAATAAATAAATAAAAATTCTCATTATTCTTACATTTTGAATAATTTTTTTCATTATTATGATATCAAATTAGCTTATTAGACAAACGTATGTGTTATTAGTGTGTTAGCAAAGTCTTTTACACCAACTACTTTGCTTATTTTTTTCCGTGTTTGTATTTCTACAGAACAACTGAGATGAATTTTTTCATTTGAAAAACTGCTTTGTTTAATTTGGAAATCATCATTATAATAATGTTATAAATAAGTAAATTTTATTCTTACCATTAATATGAAAATACTAAAAATTTCTCAAACGCAAAGTGAAATACAACTGGAGCGCAAATTGCCCACAATTCCACTAATTGACTTTTAAACTCGCCTATTACGGTAAATGCGTTCGATTTTTCCTCTTCATTACGAATGTAGTTACAATGTCATTAATTGTTCGCTGAAGTGTAGTACTGTGTGTAGTGTAATTGGCCTCAAGAAGTCTTTGCAGAATTATATAATAATGCGTGAATGAATGAGTTGTCTTTAGGAGAGGATTCACACGGATCGACGGGGTCGTAACACGAAGGTTCGCGTGATCGGGGTCTCGCCACTAACTATGCAAAATAGATTTCACTTTAGGTGCGTTTGCGGAATATGACTTTAGATATGACCTAATACAGTTACACCTAGATAACGAACACGGGCTGTTGACACGACCGATGAAACATCGCTAAAAATTTAATTAGGCGAGGTTTCTGGAAGATCAAATGTTGATAATTATATCCAGCCTAGATTTTTCCACCTTTCCAAGGAGGAATAAAAGTTTATTTTATCGCTTTATAATCCTATTTTCTAATTTTGTTTTTGCGATGTTTCCAGTCATTTTGAATTGTTTGATACCACAATTTCAAAAAGTATGTGTATGTGTGTGTAGGCGCGCCTAAATTTGACCTTCCTTCAACGCTTCCTCATTAAGGACCGAACCGACTTAAAAAATTTGAAAGTTATTTGATAAAAGAACTCGCATTGATTAGTTTTGCGAGACGATTAGCTGACCAACTTCTTTAGCAGAAAAATGCAATATATTTTGCCGCAATTTTTTTTTAACAAATTTTGAAAATTTCAAAACCATTCCAAGAAATTCGATATAATAGAACGTTCGACTGAGCCTTACTAATGACCGACCATCACTAAAAACGTATTTGACGATATTGATGAATCTTTGAACTTTGTTAGGATTCATGGTCTTAAACATTCATTTGCGATGTTTTTAGTCATTCTGAATCGTTGGATACTACACTTAAAAAAGTTATGTGTATATGTGTAGTTGAGCCTATAAATTTGACCTTTTGTAGATGTTTTCTCATTAACGGCTGAACCGACTTTAAAATTTAAATGCCATTTAATAAAACTCCATAAGGATTTGCGTTGTCCGGTTTGCGAGAGGATCTACCAAGCCGTTACTTTAAAATTAGCAGAAAAATCCAAACATTTTTGCCGCAAAACTTTTTTTACAAATTTCAAAGTCATTCCATGAAATTCGATATGGCACGATCTACGGAGCATTATTAAATTTAATGACCAGCCATCATTAAAAACTTTTTTGACGATTTTGATGAAACTTTGTATTTTGATATAATTCATGGTTTTAACGAGCATACTAAACTATTATAGGACTGGAATAAGTGGTTTAATTATAAAAATTCCTCAAAGTTTGAAATAATGAGCGACGTCAAAATTTCTTTTTCACGATTTTAAAAGCTTTAAAAAGCATAACCACAATTCTTGTTAAGGTCGATTATATTTACATATGTCAGGACATTTATGCTATATACTTTAGAGAAAAATGTCACTTAAACCCAGCTTTTTTGATCTTTTTTTTTACAAACTAGCCCCGTACAATCATCTTTAACAAAGTTAAATAAATCCATAACAATTTACATTCTGCAACATAGTAAAGTTTAT